AATTCTCTAAACTTTGACAAAAAATTTCTTGACAACTATTTAATAGAATTCTATGAAATAAAAAAATTTAATAAATTCTATTAATTATAGAATTAATTTAAATTTTTTTATCAAATTCTATCAAGTAGTTGTTGAGAAATTTTTGTCAGAAGTTTAGAAATTTTTCTAAAAAAAGCTGCGGCAGAAGTCTTTTCTGTATTTTGAATGAAAATTCCTCGACATCTGTATGATAAAATTTATTGAACTTTTTTTTAAATTTATTGAATTTTTTTTTAAATAAATTATATAAATAGTAAAATTTATTTAAAAAATTTCTATAGAATTCTTTTAAGTAGTTGTCAGAAAATTTTCGTTCAAAGTTGGAAAATTTTTTGTCACAGCTATTTTCTTAGTAGGTGATTAAAAATTTTCCAAACTTTGACCGAAAATTTCTCAATAACTACTTAATCAATTCGATGAAAATTTTTTTAAATGAATCTTAATAACTCATAAAATTGATTTAAAAAATTTTTTATCAAATTGTATTGAATAATTGTCAAAAAAATTTGTTATAAATTAAGAAAAAATTCTAATTCGATAGCTTACATATATACGTAAGCATCACGTAATGTTCGGTATATGCAAATCACGTGATCTGTATATGTCTGTAGACTTTCCACAGGAGAAATCTGATAAACCCGATCTGATCATGTGATATAGGTCTGACCACATGAGGGTCCGGTCATTATGTACATGGCTTCAAGATTTGACTTAAAAAAATTAATCGGTAATTTGTATTACAAATTAACTAACCAATAAACCTGCTTGGCCCCCAGAGATCTCTAGCAGGCAATTTGGTTCAAGAAAACCATTTCAGATTTTCTTGAACCAGATTTGGTTCGAATAAACCTTCTAGGATTCATTCGAACCTGTGCGAACCTTAAAAGCTACATGATTTCACTTATATAATCAGATTAGAGAATTATTAAGTTTGCAAACAATATTAAATTTTGTTTATAGTGCCTTACCTGAATAGGATTAATTTAAAGACGTTATCCTGATTATCCCAGATTATTATTCTATTATCGTTATGAGAACTCTGTATGATAGAATGTTACTATTCCAAAGAGACAAGGTTATGAAATAGATGAAAAAATTTGTGAAAAACAAAATCTTGAAAGAACAAACATAAAAGTTCAACAAAAAAATAGAAACTTACTCAAACTATTATAGCTATAAGAAGCCCAAGGTATTTGAAAACTCGAAGAACTTGTTAAGGAACTTTGAAGACCAAATATAGTAATATCTAATTAAGGTTATAAACGGTTACGATTATTCATAATCAATTTGCTAAATACTGAGATGATTTTTTATTTTTAAGCTATTAAATAAAGTTGTTTAGAATTAAGCTCTATCTTATAAGTAGAAGAACGATAATTTCTTTGGGACTCGAAAATTTTAAATTTTGTATTACCATAAGCAGTTATTAACTAGTAGTTAATAATCAGTTATATTATTAACAAATTTTAAAATTTTCGAGCTCCAAAGAAGGTATCGTTCTTCTATTTATAAGATAGAGCTTAATTTTAAACAACTTTATTTAATAGCTTAAAAATAAAAAATCGTCTCGGTATTTAGCAAATTGATTATGAATAATCGTAACTGTTTATAACCAAACCTATTCCTATACCTAATATAAAAAAAAAAATTTTTTTTAAAAAAGTAAAAAGGTAGTAGATAAAAACGTATACAAAATAATGAACTTAAATCAATAATAAAGACTCTGAAAAATGTTATTTTGAATAATACTTTTAATTGAAGTATTGGTAAATTATATGATGCATAAAAATCAAAATGTATCATATAAACCTTGAAATCTGCATATAAACACTATTTTGTATCTTGAAATCATACCACACTTATATAGATTTTTAGTAGAATACATTAAGATATGTAAAAATCTTAGCATAATCCTTTCAATCATAGTATAAATATTTCAAGCCTTAATGTTTTAAACCTTTAAAATATATATAAGTATGTTGAATTTAATAAAGAACGAGAGTTTTTATCTATTATCAATTACCAATAAATAATAAAAAGTATTTATTTGTCTGATATTCCTTTTTGAATTATCTATTGAATTCCACTTGTAACTTTAATAAACCCTTTGGAGACAATTGACTTGTAACTTCGATTTAGCTTACTAAAACTCAGATATTTTGAAATGTTTGTGAAATTAGATATTGTCACTTACATTAATAACTTGTGAGAATTGTAGTAGAGAATGATACTTACAATTGGTTATTAGACCTATTAATCCATCACATGTGCTTAGAGTTATCACCAATATTACTTGATCATCATCTGTTTTTATCTTACCATCCTTACTAGAATATTCTTAACAGCATTACCTGTAGTTGCATTAATCCTTATCGATATTGAAGTATTCGTTTCGTAGCTTCTTATTGTCCAACTAGTCCTCAATCAGTTATAAAAGACCTTCTTTGCTTCTTTCAATTTATCACTATCTCCCTGTACACTGTTGAAGTTAAATTTACCCTTCATTTATATTATTTTCTTAAGCTCTCCTATCAACAATAAAAGAAGTATTTAGTCCAAATCAATAAAACAAATCGCAAAAAGAAAAATTATCTACCAATTGATCATGACATAAAAGCTTTAATCTAAAGATCAAAAGGATCGATCCCACAACCAGTACGTTCTACTAGACAACTTTATTTTATCTACAGTACGATTATTGACAAGATTATTTTACCAGCTATACGATTCACCAACAATACACTTCATGACAGTTTGATTTTTATATCTATATTTTATAGTTAGAATTAGATAGAGTGAATACTAGTATTATGTCAAAGTTAATAGTAAAAGTAACTTGAATTTGACGAAATTTTCTTTACAAATCATACATACTTTATAATTTCTACATTTTTGTCCTAATTTGCGGTTCCATATATACTATTTCACTACATACTCTAAATAAAACATACTGTTATTGTACTGTCATTAAAATAAGTTTGTCAGTGAATCGTATTGTTGATGAAATGTGCTTGTCAATAAAATAATAAAATTGATGAAATATACTTCCAGTCAATCGACTATTAGTAAAATAAACTTATCAGTAAATTGATAGTTGGTAAATCATACTAAAGATTGATTGTTAATGAAACGATATGTATCTATTATCAGGCAAGTTCAAGAAATCAGCATGTATTCTCATGATTGTATTCGTTAATAACTTTTATTAGTTTAGGTTACATCAGGAAGACTTAGAGAAATCAGCATAATATTCTTGCAAAATTCATCCAGTAATACTCTTTTTCATTCCAATCCAAGGTGGGAGGATTCAAATAAGACAGTATGATATTCCTGCAAAGTGCACCTACTACTAAAGTATTTTTAACATTGTTTTTCTTTCTTGATTCAAGGTTGTTACCAGAAAATTTCAAGAAGTCGACTTGTGTTCTTACAAGTATGTCTGCTAAAGATCCCAAGTTATACTCAAGAAGTCAATATAGTATTCTTATAGGGTTGCAGGAAATATAGTATCAAATCTTTACCTATTTTCTAAGCAATAATTAATCTATCAACCGGAATCTACTCAATCACATATTTATAATTATAAGTTTTAAGTTGAAACTCCTTCAAATATGTTTATCTATTTTGTTATTTTCACTCAAATTCTATTTCTTTGTAAATTTTAATTGTTTATTCTATTATAGAAATTGAAGGGCTTAGTGGTTTAGATGTATGAAAAACATATAAATACCAAAAAATTTAAATATATATGATTACTCAAAGACTGCACTTTAAGACTTTCAGTTTATATATTAATTTTATAGTATATGTTGAATTTTAAGTGTAAACATTAAAATTTCGGTTTCTATGTTTTTGAAAATTAAAATGTGTATAAGAACTTTGAATTCAATAAATGAAAGGATAGTTCCTTGTCCTACTTTCAATTATGACTAGATATTAAAATGTATATACTTATCTGAATTTTCTCTTGAGGCTTTGTTTTTGAATTCGACTTGTAACTTAATAACCTATTCAAGATACAATTCGATAGACTTCGATTCGGCTTATTAAAACTTAGATTTAGATATAATTGTGGAATTAAATATTGCTATTCACATTAGTAACTTGTGGGAATTGCAATAGAGAACAATATTTATTCAACTCTATTGATATATTATGTAAACTTAAAATTATTACGATATTACTTGATCACAATCCACTTTTACGTCATCCTGAAAAAGATAGGCATATTGTAAATATATACAAGATTGGTAGCACAAATCTCCTAAACTATGATCAAGATTAGGTATAACATAACACAATCAGGAAGATTCAAACAAACGTTCATTCTGCAAAAAATTGCTCATAGCTCAAAAATTAGTATAATAAGCCACCTTTTGTGCTCTAACAAAAAGTTTTTGTTGAACAATTTTACAATATAAATTATTTCTTTCTAGATCCTAACTTTGACCCTAACCTTAACAAATTTTAAGAATTTAGTCTTCGCCGCCAGCTTTGTACACATTTACGATATGCAAAAGGCAGTAGATTAGTGATGTTCAAAAAATTTTACCATTTTGTGAACCTGGGCTTTCAGAATTTAATCCAACAATTCAGATTCGGATTTCAGCATCTCTGGTATTCACATGCTAGAAATTAAAGTAATTATATAAATTGCTTATCATTAGCTATAAATCCTCCAGATATTCCAAATATTTGTATTTCTTGTAAGATCTTGAATATTGTTTGTAATATATAAAAGCCAATTGATTTCTTATAATTAAATAAGCAGATAAGTAAGGATAATAATAATAAAAACTGTCTAATCTGGGGATCCTAGTAGCAGTAGAATTCTTGATTCTCAAACCAAATTTTTCACGCTTTTTTTCTAGTTTTAATTTTTGTTGTATTACAAATTATAACCCAAATTCACACTTTTACAGTATGAAGCTGGACTAAACACTTCTGATAAGCAAAAAAAAGCAAAAACAAATATGCATCATTAAAATTGAGTATAAAAAAAAACTTGGCAAAAGAAAACTATCTTGATCAAAGAAAAACTTGATAAAAAAAAAACATCTTAGTGAAAAAAACATTTCTTGACAAAAAAAATACTCCTTAGTTAAAGAAAAATTTTTTGATAAACAAAATCTTGAATAAAAAACTTTTTGGTAAACAAAAAATTTTTTAACTAAAAACTTACAAAAAAAATAAAAACACCTTGACAAAAAAAAAAATCCAAACAAATATTTATATTTACAAAAATTGATCTGTATAACTAGTTATTTGGAGTGAAGTGACAGACCCTTTTCTGTATCCACTTATTTGTATGGGTAATACAAACCTCTAAAAAGGAAATAACCAATCAGAGAACACAAATTTTGGATATTCTGGATCAGCCCAACATAGAATCCGAACACGTGCGAAAGAAGAAAAAAAAAGAAAAGAAAGTGAAAATACTCAAAAACTAGTATTTAAATCGACCTTGATTAACTAATAAAAAATAACGAGAACGAAATTTTACATATAGAAAACTCAACTTATTGCTAAAGCTCACAACCCTAACATCTTAATCCTAAATTTTTATTTTTACGCACTTGATTTATTTACAAAATTTGATTCTTTTTTTGGTTTGTGTTACCTGTGCAAATAAGTAAATCGCCCTGGTTCCAGTGTAATGCCATATACCTAAATTTGCATATTTGTATAACAAACACAAATTATGTGTTTGTACTCATAGGAGGCATTTATCTAATTGGCTGATTTGAATCAATTGCTTAAATAACTAAATATACAGTTTAATGTTTCTAATTTTGATTCCTTTAATACATATTCACTATTGCTATATAAAATAATCATGAATTTTTTTTAAGCTATATAGTTCTACGTATATACGATATTTCTAACACACAGTATTAGAACATTCTTAAACTCCTTAGCCAATAGGAGCATAGAAGACACTTGTATTTTTATGAGTTATAACATCTATGTGATTGGTTAATTTATATAGATCCAAGCGTGATTATTGACCAATCAAGTCAATTAAAAAAATTCTTTCGATATCGAAATAGAATGAAATAACTACTATTATTAACAAAAGCGAACCTTTTTTTTAATACTAAAGTAATTCTACTCTATTTATTAATCATTACATTTTACTAAAACATGTTATATATTACTACCTTTAGTCTATA